GATTAAATGAATATTATTATTTGGATTAGTGAATTGCAAACTGGGGTTCACCCATTAGGGGTTAGGGTATAGTATTGTGCCCCAAACTCCGGTTAATTTATTGTCTAAATAGCAAAACTCAAAGGGCATAGGCTAGGGTACGTCCGGGCGTACGCTAGCCTTTGCCATATAGTATACGCCTGACGTACACTAGTATTCACCTATATATATATATATATATATATATATATATATATATATATATATGTATGTATGTATATATATGGTGGCTTCTATCGTACCTTGGGTAAAATCTAGGGTACGACATACCATGAGTAAAAAAATGCTATCTAGACCTCGAATTAACCGAATTTTTGGACATGATACTATACTCTAACCCTTGATGATTGAAACCTAGGTCTTAGATTTCTAAATCAAAGAGCCTAATCCCTAAGATTGTGCCTGTAATTTGTTGCATATATTTCGACAAATCATAGCCGTTGATTTTTGTTTCTAATTAAATTGATCTTAGTGTATGAGATTTATAAAACTAAGACCTAGATTTTAATTCTTAAGGGTTTGGGAATAATATCAGACGCCAAACTATGCTCAATTCGAGGTCTAGATATCATTTTTTTACTCAAGGTATGTTGTACCCTTGATTTTACCCAAGGTACGATAGAATCACCAGTATATATATATATATATATATATATATATATATATTATATATATATATGGGCAGTTCTAGGGTGCCCAGGGCAAAATTCGGGGTACGGGTAACCAGGGGCAAGGAAAATTACCAAAAGCATCACGAAGCGTTTAAGCGTTTTTCATTGGACTTCAACCTAACTGTACAAGGTTTAATTATATCGATTAAGAGGTTAAACCCTATGGATACGACCCGCCGCCCTAACCAATTTCTAGTCCCTCATTCTTCTTGGAGGGGATGTCCCCTCTTAGTTCGAAGTTCGAACATAATCCTTTTATCATCGTTTCAGAAATCTGAAATCCTTTTTATCATTTGATCGACATTCGATTTAGCTCCCAATCCAATATCAAATCCCCAACATCATCATGTTTTGAACCCCAAATCTATGTATCCACGTTCGAAGAGAAGATCCCTTTTCAATCTAAAATCCCCACATAATCATCATTTTGAACCACAAATCCTTGTATCCACAATCGACGTTTTGTTCTTCGCCATTTTATTTCCGACCGGAATCAAAAATCTCCACATAATCATCGTTTCCTTGTATCCACAATCGACTTTTTGTTCTTCGCCATTATATTTCCGACCGGAATTTACACAAATTGAAGATGAAATAAGCAACACAGTCTTCGACCTAATTGAGGAAGAAGATGAAGAAGACAGGATTTGATTCGAATCGGATGGAGAGGTCGCCTTAACTTGTGTTTATGTATTAACGGTGCGTTTAGGACAAAGTCTAGTTGGGCTTTTAAATTCCCTTCAAAAGTTGGCTTGTGTACATGATCCGGATTGTGAAGAGGTTGGGCTTTTATTTACATCTGCGCATGCTTCTGCTTCTAAATCCTGATCATGTCTTGCGTTCACGCAATTTAAACACAATTATGTGTTCCATCTTTTTTTTGGGATTCGGTAAATGGTAGCGTGTCTCTTTACACATTTATCGGTACGAGGTAAAAAACAATCCGCCCAATTTAACTCTTTATTAATTGCCCATATTCCACTCTCTCACTGTTTGCCCCTCTTGACATAACAAACCTCTTGTAGACTAATTAGAGGCTTGTGGTTGGATACATAGTGAGGACATTTTTTAAATTTATGTTTTGAAACGAAAGTTAGAATTTCACTTTTGAAGTACTTGTGTACTTTACTTGGGCAAGTATTTTCAAAATGTAAAATTTTATCAGCGTATAGGTATGCGATTATTGTATAAGGTGTTTATGGTTAAGTTAATGATTACTGACTGGTTAGTGTATTAGGTTGTTGATGGTTTAGAGTATATGGTATATGGTATATGGGATGGTTTAGAGTATAGGGTATATGGTTTAGCGTATATGGTATATGGGATGGTTTATAAGGTGTTGAATTGTTGATGGTCCAGAGCATATTGTATTGATTGATTCGGCTGAGGGTAGGTGTTGTTTTATTTTTCTCGATTTTATATTGTCTTAACATCTTCTTATAAATGCTGATCATGCCTTATTATCAGGAAATTTAGACATAATTATTGTAGCGTGTCTCTTTACACATTTATCGGTACGAGATAAAATGATTTGGTGTGTGCAAAGTAGGTTCTCATTAACGATTTTGCCATGTTGGTTATCCCGCCCATTAGCGATTCGCCACATATGGAATCAAAATTAGTTAGAGTTCTTAACTTCATCTTTCTTCATTTATTCTTTGACTTGAACCAACATGTCTTTGCTCCGAAGGATTTTGGGTGGTAGTGGCGTGCTAAAGACAATCCGTCCAATTTAACTCTTCGTTAATTCCCCCTTTTCTTTTCTTTTTTGGTAGAATAATTACCCCTTTTCCACTCTCTCAGTCCCCGCCGAAGTTGAAACAATCCCCTGTGATATATTTATCGTTCATTTTAACCCTTCACTTAATAAGAAAGCGAAATTATGCAAGATGGTCATCAATGTGATGTAGCTTAATTGGTTAATTGTCTGTTATTTGCTTAGTCAATAAAGTAGAGGATTGTGGTTCGATACTTAGTGAGTATCAATTTTTAATTTATGTTTTGAAAAGCAAGTTATAATTTTAGTTTATCAGCGTATAGGTATACGATATTGTATAAGGTGTTGATGGTTTAGAGTACATGGTATTGGGTTAGTGTATTGATCATCTCCATCCCTAAAATACGATATTGTATAAGGTGTTGATGGTTTAGAGTATATGGTATTGGGTTAGTGTATTGATCATCTTCATCCCTAAAATTGAACAACAATTTCTAAACGAGGTCCCTACCGCCACATCATCAATTTTAGCAATTCATCACTTAACAATTTCTATTCATCTACATCCCTAAATTATGCTAGCAATTGCCAAGGTGGGTTCCATTTTATATTTCAAAGGAAACACTTATTATAAATTGAAAGTTGGGGATGGAGATAGAAGAAGGTGTTGTTGGTATACAATATAAGGTCTTGAAGGTTATGGTATAAGGGAGGAGCAAGGTGTTGATGGTTTAAAGTATATATGTTATTGATTGGTTACGGTATAAGCCTATAAGGTGTTGTTATTGTTGTAGAGTATATGGTATTGATTAGTTCGTGTATTAGGGTTTGGTTTAGGGTTTAGGGTTTAGGGTTTAGGGTTATGATTCAAGTTAGAATAACATAAACCAGATCAATAGAGTAATGTTGGTAAACGAAAAAGTTAGTTAATCTACAAATTCAGACTATTTATAAAAGTACATCCCCATTTCCCACCGTCAATTCCTAAACTTTTCCCTTAATCCGATGGTGAAATACCTTCGATCCTTGTCGCGTGCGTGTCACCCAATCAGATATTGCCGAATTCGGAAAGTCGCTTTTGCCCATAACCAATGCTGGCGTTACCAAGGCCGAGGCAGTGGTAGGGAGTGTAATTTTCAGTAAATGTGAAGGGAGGGAAAGTAAAAGTAATTACGAGTCAATCTATAAATTCGTTAATCAGTGAAGGAGAGACCGTGCTCCGAAACCCGAGTGGCACTCATCTCCTGCTGTTGTTCGTTCCTCCTCCTCTCAATCCCTGAAAAGAACCCTTTCTTCCATCTTCTCAATATGAAACTCCGAAAATCAACCCCATCCGCCTCTTCATCCTCCTATCCCATGCTTTATTTTCGGGTGCAGTGGTAATGATGAGACTGCGTATTATTTTAGATCTCATTTCCTTTCATTATGTCATTGTTAGATCATGACTGTTAAACTAAATCCTTCATTGTATTGTTTCTCCTTTTCTCTCCATGCATGGTCTTTGTTAGAGGCATGGAGGGGAGCAATGACAATAAGTCGCCGTCTGAATATCGCCGAAAGAATCATCACATGTTGTTGCGATTAGGAGTGTCAAAACGGGTTCGGGTTTTCGGTTTAACCCGAAACCGAACCGAAAATGAACCTTGATGGGTTCGGGTTTTCGGTTTCAACCCGAAAGTGTGATGCTCTGGTTTCGGTTTCATTTTGACCCGAAAAACCCGAAGATATAATTTGGACTCTCATCCTTCTTTTCGCCGGTTCCCTTCGCCAGAGGAGACGAGTCGACACTCGACAATCCTTCGCTGGACATCCCTTCGCCGGTATTAGGGAAAAAATCAAAAAATTAGCCGGCGAACTCATCCTTTCCTTCAAGAACGAAACTTTCCCCGGCGCCGCATTTGGGTACCGCAAGTCCGCAACTCTTCTCCAATCTGGTTTTAGGGTTTCCCTGGCTTCTTGATTCAGCTCCTGGCTTCATCGATTTCTCCCGATTTCATTGATTCAAGCCAAGCGGGCAAGGAGGAGGCAGGCACGGGCAATTTCCTTTGCCCAAAGACAGAGTTGACAACCACGTAGAGAGGAATTTGGGATAAGGCTGCAGATCCAGTCAATTTGCATGGAGAAGAGATTGATAGAAGTAGAGAAGGCATGTTTCCATGTCTTCTTCCTTTACGAAGCCTACGGGGGATGTGGCGTCCATAAATCTCTACAGTAGGGGGAAAATCAATGAGATTCTTCGGTGGATTCTACGGGGGATGCGGCAACTTTGTCGTCGCCGCATCTGGGTAGAAATCTGTCAGCATGCAAGGTTCAGGGGAAGGAGCTGGAAATCAAGAGAGGAGAGAGATTGAGTTAAGGATCTGAATGCCTAGTGTAGAAACGAAATCAGATCCATCAGATTTTGAGAGAAGTCGGTGGCCGTACTGAATGAGTGAAAGATGTCGCCGACAGAGTAGATGAAGGGAAGAATGGGGTTCTGGGTTTGGGGAAAAAAACAGGGGAAGGAAGAGAGAGGGGTTGGAAGGAAGGCGAACAGAGCTCTGAATTCCCAAACCAGCAAACAGTTTTCATCTTTAGCCCTCGATGCAAGGCAGGCTGTGCGAGTAGAGCGGCTTCTTCTTGTCCGGAGCCCTCTTCCGCCAATCCTCGTCCTCCTCCTCCTCGCCCGCCGGCGCCGCGTCGTCCAACTCCGACGACCTACAGGGGAGTAGATTAACCGCTTTACTCCGGCAGAAGGACGACGAAGCCCGCCGGTAAAAGGAAGAAGAAGAAGTGGGTAACGTGGGGAGCGAGCTGAATTTGGAAGGAGGAGTTGAGAAGCGGATGGAGAACGCGCCTGATGGAATCTGTAATTAGGACTATGGTTTCATCTGAGTAGGCAAAATTGGGAAGGGTTTCAATGTTTCAGAGGGAAAGGGGAGGAACTGGCTGAGTTCAGTTTCTTATCTTCATTAGTGTTGGGTTTTCGGGTTACATGTACCCAAACTGAAACCGTCAGTGGCCCTTTTCGGGTTCGGGTAACCGAAACCCAAAGTCAGTGGTTTCGGGTCGGGTTCGGGTTTGTATCCAGTGCACTGTATGGCTTTTCGGTTTTAGTGGGTTTCGGGTTCGGTTAACCGACCCGAACCGACACCCCTAGTTGCGATTCCATAATAGGTGTTGTGGAACCCTACGTCATGTGATGGTTCTTCTGGGCGACATTGACGCGTACTTGTTGATCATGCTCCCAAAATATATACAAGAGGGGAAAGTTGCCATATGTATAATAGGATAAAATAGGGAGGGAAAGTACAGCTTTTTGTTTTTGTTGGACTATATGTAACATTTGTTTATATTTGTATACTTTTTTGTTATTTTTTCTTCTGCTTCTCTCTTCGCTTCCATGGCGGCTTCCAAAAGTGTTTGAGATCTTCTAAATCTGCGAGGGATCCTCCACTCCCAATAAAAATACTGTACTTTGTACTATTAGCGTTTGAGATCTTCTAAATCTGCAGGGGATCCTACACTCCCAATAAAAATACTGTACTTTATTTGTTGACTACTGACTCCATTTTTAGAAGTCTTTACGATTGGGCCAACCAGATTTTTTGCCGGATTTCGAACTCTGCTCCTCTGTCGCCACATGCTCTACCCATTTAATGAGTGCTCAAAATTAGTGCAAAAAATACGATATAATAATTAAATAAAAAAAAAAACTAGTTCTCAAGATTATTCAACTGAAATGTTGCACATGATTTATTTAGAGTGCTTAAAAATTGCCTTCAACTGACCATTAATGAGTGCATAAATTAAACGACACCGCAAGAGCCAACAGTCTTCTTATATACCAAACGACTCGGCATAGGAGGACTTCCAGTTTCAGTTCAAGTTTCCAACACCGAGCAAATATATGGTCCCAATTGCCACTTCAGCAACTTTAACTATACATCAATTGTGACCGTGGGTCCTACTTAATTTTCAATGCAATTCAATATTAATTGGTGAGTGTGTTATATTAATTTGAGTTTTCTCTCAAGTTGTTTTTTTTCGTTGTGTTATTCGAATTATGTAAAGTATTATGATTGGAATTGTATATATGTGTGTGCTGCATGAAAATTTGCAACTGCATGAAAACATTCATCAGATGCAAATTTGCAACTTTTGTAATTGATCCCACATCAATGCAACTCACCATCCCACTTACACTCCCTTGCCACATCAGCTTGCAATTCTCAAGAATTGCACCATTGGAGATGGTCTAAATAAGCAAGGTGTTGATAGTTTAGAGTATATATGGTATTGATTGGTTAGGGTATAAGCCTATAAGGTGTTATTGTTGTAGAGTATATGTTATTGATTGGTTCGTGTATTAAGGTTTGGCATTGCAAGAAGAATTCCTAATTTAGCAATCTTGCTAGTTTAGAAAAAATATCCTAGGTGGCATTGCAATCTTGCTAAATAATGGTGCCACCTAGGATTCCACTAAATAAGCAATGGGATGGATTGGTTCGGGTATAAGCCTATAAGGTGTTATTGTTGTAGAGTATATGGTATTGATTGTTTAGGGATTCGGGTTTAGGGTTTAGGGTTTAGGGTTACAATTACATGTACCAAATCAGTAGATTAATTTTGGTAAACAAAAAAGTTAGTTAATCTACAAAGCCAGTCTAAAAGCACATCCCCATCTCCCGCCGTCAATTCCTAAACTTTTCCTTTAATCCGATGGTGAAAGAGCTTCAATCCTAACCGCGGCGTGTCACCCAATCAGATATCGCCGTTTTCGGAAAGTCGCATTTGCCCCTAACCAGTGCTGACGTTACCAAGGCTGAGGCAGCGGTAGGGAGTGTGATTTTCAGTAAATGGGAAGGGCTGGAAAGGCAAAGTATATTTACGAGCTCATTTATAAATTCTTTAATCAGAGAGGGAGAGACCATGCTCCGAAACCCGAGAGGCACTCATCTCCTGTTGTTGTTCGTTCCTCCTCTCAATCCCTGAAAAGACCCCTTTCTCCCATCTTCTCAACCCCGAAAATCAACCCCATCTGCCTCTTCGTCCTCCTGTCCATGCTTTATTTTCGGGTGCAGTGGTAAAGATGAGACTGCGTATTATTTTAGATCTCAGTTCCTTTAATTATGTCATTGTTAGATCATGACTGTTAAACTAAATCCTTCGTTGTATTGTTTCTCCTTTGCTCTCCATGTAGGGTCTTTGTTAGAGGCAGGGAGGGGAGCAATGACAATAAGTCGTCGTTTGAATATCGCCGAAAGAATCATCATATGTTGTTATGATTCCATAATAGGTGTTGTGGAACCCTACGTCATATGATGGTTCTTCTGGGTGACATTGACGCGTACTTGTTGATCAATGCTCCCAAAATATATACAAGAGGGGAAAGTTGCCATATGTATAGAATAGTATAAAAGTGGGAGGAGGGAAAGTACATTGTTTTGTTTTTCAAGATTTGTACTTTTAGTGTTTGAGATCTTAATAATATATCGGTGAGGGATCTTTCACTCAATAAAAACACTGTAGTTTATTTCTTGATTACTGCCTCCATTTTCAGAAGTCCTCTGTCGGCGCATGCTCTTGTCATTTCACGCCCAAATTACATATCATAATTTTAGTAGCCAAAATTAAGTAATTTTATAAACAAGTAAAAAATAATTCAACTGAAATGTTGCACATGATTTATTTAGGGAGCAACCTCCATATCGAATTCAATCAAATCCATCCAAACTAAATAAAACGACACCGTAGAAGGCAGTAGTCTTCTTATAAACCAAAGAGACACATAAATAAAACGACACACAAGTAAAACGACACCGCTGACGGCAACAGTCTTCTTATAAATCAAACGACGCCGCTTCAAGCTGATACTGGCAGTCTTCACATAGTCCATTAGTCCTAATCCGAATAGGATAAGGACGTCCATCTTCACTTCTAGTTTTCAACAATCCTTAGGTTGCTACTTCTTGTAACAGGCCTCTTCTGCAAAATCGATAACGACGATTTTAGACGTACAAAAATATTGGATGCAACTGCATTGTGTAGACACGAACAATTATATCTTATTCTTACCCTAGGTTGCTCATAATCGTCGTCATCGTCATTTTCATCATCGTCATTTTCATCATCGGATGGCCCAGACCCAGTACACGTTCTTGCATTATGATTGGTAGAACCGCACTTACTGCAATGCTTTTGCCTTCTCTTCGGTACTGTTTCCGACTGATCTTGAGTGGTGGGAGGATCAACATCGGTGTCATCGCCACCGCCACCTTCTTCCGAAACACCATCATTCGGGGCATCACCGTTTGAGGTTGGCTTCACATAGCCAACAAGATGTGGGCATCGGGCCCTATAGTGGCGTCATTCACCGCAATTGCTACACTGTCGTGGTTCTCCTTTCTTCCTTTTAGATTTTTTAGCCCCCGAACCTTTAGCTTTGACTTGTAATGGATCCAACAAAATTTCATTCGCCTTCGGTCTATTAATGTCGGGTATGTCCACGTTTCCAGTGTCCACCATGTCAAACTTTTCACATAATGATTGAATTCCCTCACGAGCAATCTTGAAGCACTCACTAGATTTTGCCCCTTTTAACATTAGTTGTAAGCTGTGTTGTTGAATAGTACCATACCTGATTGACACAAGATTTTATACAAAGTGAGTAAAATTAATGTTCACTTAGCTTCGAACCAATATTAAAAAAAAAAGTGATAGTCATGGCAAACCTCAATGCGAAAAGTTGCGATTCATCTAGTCTGCCCGGTTCCTCCAAGCTCTCTAGTGTCTTCGGCTTCTTTGACCATCTTCGACGTACTAGGCCTTCAGGATGTTCCAGTATGCTCTCTTCTTTACAAAAATCATATGACGACATGGTATTCCCATATAATTGTAGTGATTACAACTACATTCCATTGCAAAGGGTTCAACTGCGTACGTGACTTGAAAAACCTTATCCATGCCAGACACCTTGACCTTGTACACATGCTCAATTTTCGATCGCTCTGTCTCCAACCTTATGCAACATGCCGACTTTTCAACCTCGTCTCTGAATAAGAAGAATGTGTTCCTTGTGAAAACCGCCGCTCCACTCTTCTGAAGTGAGACTAAGACATTGCTTGTGATGGTTCGTTCTCGATGAATGGATTCAAAATCAGCATGACACTCATTCTCCCTCATATCCCTAGTCCAACGATCAAAGTGAATAAAGAACTCAAGGAGATTTTTATCCTTCTCAATATAATTGGCAAGTTGAGAGTTCAGTCCTTCACATCTTGATGTTGTACTCAAGCCTGCGAAGAAATTCGAACGCAAATATGCATACCCCCATTCATGTCTTTGCTCAAATAAATTGGAGACCCAATTGTTGTGCTGAAGGGAGCATTCCTCAACCAATGATTTCCACTTTTCTTCGAATTCTGAAGGTTCCCAGTCAGCTGACACAAAATGCTTCTATCGGGGCAAAAAAGTAGGATGATTCTTCACATTTCCGGGTTATAGTCTTGTCTATATGCCAGGAACATAGACGATGTGTTGCATCGGGAAATACTTTCTGAATAGCATTACGCATTGCTCTATCCCTATCTGTAATAACAGTCTTGGGATCTACACCGCCTAGCCTTCTCTTCAAAGCTCCCAACACCCAAATATAATTTTCCTCTCTCTCGTTAGCCAAGAAAGCACATGCAAATACGCAAGTTTGCGAATGGTGGTTGACACCTAAAAAAGTTCAAACAAAGTTAGATTATGAAAACTTCTAGGGTTATTTTAGCATGCTCGGGATAATTCTATGTGTGAAGGAAAAGTACCTGAAAAAATCACGAGAGGTATCTGGTAAATGTTCCTTTTGTAAGTAGCATCGAATGAC